ATATATAGTAGAAGAGGAAGAAGATGTAACTGATGAAAAATGAAGACGAGGACGGTTTGGAAAATATGTACGTACTAAAGTAGAACCACCGGAAGATTTGGCACAAATGAGTAAGGAATTGGGCAAAAATTACATGTTATTGAGGAGAAACGAGGAGGAAATTAGGCCAGGTTTACAAATGAAAAAGATAAGAATACAAATATACAAAGGAAACATAGAATAGTAAAGAAACATAATATAACTAATGAAAAATAAAGACTCCGGCGAATTGAGAAACATGTATGTACAAAACCACTAGAAGATGTAGCACAAATGACTAAGAAATCGAGCAAAAACTGCACGTTATTGAGAATAAACGTGGCGGAAATTAGTGCAGATTTACAAATGTAAAAAGTAAGGACACAGATTTACAAAGGAAATAGTCAAAAGAATAAATAGATGTAACTGACGAAAAATGAAGACTCGAACAATTTGAGTCATTTAAATGTACAAAAGTAGAATCGCCAGAAAACTCAGCACAGATGAGTAAGGAATGGAACAAAAACTGTACGTTATTGAGAAGAAACGTGGAGGAAATTACGGCAGATCTACAAATGAAGAAGATAAGGACACAGTTATACAAAAGAAACATACAAAAATAAAGGAAGATGTAACTGATGAAAAATGATGCCTCCCACAATTTGATGCATATGTATGTAGAAAAGTAGAATCACCAGAACATCAGCACAAATGAGTAAAGAATCGATCGAAAAATGCACGTTATTGAAAGAAACGTGGATTAAATTAGGGCAAAAATTATTTTATAATAAAATAAAAATATATTATAAAAAATATTATATTAGGTCTGGCTAAAATCGGTAACTTCTACTTTCTCATTATGGCATTCCAAAATCATTAAATGCATTTATTAGCTATTACTAGTTTCGGTATGAATAGAATCCATTCATCATCATTTTCTGATTTTTGGGAAGGATTTCAGTTGATCGGTACCACAATTTACCGTTTGCAGGGAGTTAAATGAAGTTTTTTGCCTTCCACTTTACCGAATCGATTTGACCTGGAATCGATTCGTATTTGTTTCAGTACTAATTGGTGCCATTTTCAACCAATTCTAATGTCATTTGACACTTTTATTCAATTTTGAAAATTTCCCTTCCATGAGAGCCTGTATGTACAAACTTTTTCGCCTTCCCCTGTAGCTTACAGAGGAATTTTTTTTTGAACCGACCTAAGTTGATTTGTCATGTAACTTTTCCATATCTAACCACTTGTCAAGGAATAGTTCAAAAAAAAAATTTAAAAAAAGTTACCTAAAATTTTGGTGGGTTACGATTTTTCCGAAATTTTACCTTTTTTTACGAAAACAAAGATTCCTGTCGACAAAAGTTAATCTTTATAAAATCTCAGGTCCATCAAGCAATCAAGCATTATCGAACGGTATTTTTTCAATTTTCCAGCTTTCATAGTTTTCGCGAAAATCGCGAAAATATGGTTTCCAAAAATCTGTAAATATGTCGGTAACCAAAAGAGCTGAACTCAATCTATTCAGGCCAGTCGATTGGCCGTCTCAAGCTCCATAAAAAACTTGGTTTTAACTTTTTCGCTACGATCAATAAAAACCGAGCAATTGACAATTTTCTAAAAACATGCAAGCCTTTGGGGAAAAAATTTTCTAAATTTTTACCAATTTTGCGATGTCAAATTTCAATCAAATTTTGAGAAAGGGAGTCTTTACTGATCGAAAGCAATTCATTACACTTGAAAAATTACTTTTTTTCGAAAAAAATCCTTATCGGGACCAGAAGGACTCGTCCAGAGCCCGCTTTATGCAAAAATGTCCTTTTCGCAAAAAATGTGGTTGAATGTTTAATTTACATGGACGAAATTAGCGCCACTTAACTGTCTGGTTTGGGCTATGAAGCTTTAAAAATTATACAGAAAATTTAAGCAAAGAATCAACATTTACATTAGCAAGTAATATAATAAGTATAAAATTCTATATAAAAGAAGAAAGTATAATTCATCTCTGGATGAGTGTGTGGGTTGAAACACATGAGAAAATTGAAATACAGCAAAAATGTTCCGCTGTTCTTTACCTCATTTTCCAGTAATCCGAGAGGATAGTCCGACAGCCAAAGTTCGAATCGTATTTGGTGGTTCTGTTAAAACCGCGTTAGGAACAACTGAAATGCAAAAGAAGTACAGAAATGAGTAAGAAAGTGAGCAAAAATTATAACTGATGAAAAATGAAGACGAGGATGATTTGAGAAATATACAAATGTAGAACCACCGGAGTTTTTAGCACAAATAAATAAGACATCCAGTATTGAGGGGAAACGGGGAATAATTTAGGGCACGTGCTAGAAATTAAAAAAAATATTGAGGAGAAATATGGCAATGGGACAGATGCATTAATTTGTTAAAAGCTCTATTAATACCTGCAAACTTCTAATTTAAACTGTATTCAACATGGACTTTATGCTTAACGGTTGGGTCAAATTCTGAGCTGAGCTTGTTGCAAGAGCCAGGGCGCCAAAGAAGCCAAAACAGGATTTAGCACCACTTTTCAAAGAAACAATGTTGGACAATTCGTTCTGATTTATCTAAACGAGCGGTTCTCTATTCGTTTGTCTTCAGCTTCGGTTCAAATGTAACGCGCACTAGAAGGAAGCGAAGCGAACATGATCATTTTTACATTGATTCATATGGAGATGCGCTTATGGTTGAATTAAACTAGATTTACGTTATGCGACAGGCAGATACGTCAGAGCAGGCCTGGGTAACACTGTCTTGAGTTACGCTATTGAGTTGTTCCCACCCTCTGAGTTATAACTCATCGGTTCATGAGTTTTAAATGATTTATTAAAGCTTGACGAGACCCGAGACTGGAATTTTCACATCTAAGAAAAGGTCATCAACATTTTTTCTGGATAACGTTTTACTACTTTGTTCAAGCAACTAAAAAACTCATCTAGATTTTCCCGGCAAGAAAACTGAATCCAAAGAAAGTCGCCGAGCTTTCTTGTTAAATCGATATCTTAATGTTTTTGCATAAATGATTCAGTTTGCCAATATTTTAGGGATGGTGTTGTTTATAAATATTGACCTAAAAGTGACAAAACCCCAGTTTCCAATAGTTTTCCAAATAAACGATTATACACTTTCGCTTTTTCAGTTAGGGAAAATATTTTTGGAAAAACACCCACACATAATTATTAGGGTTTTGTCCATAATTCAAAGCTGCAAAAAGTTTTCCAAAAATTTGTGCAAAGCGGTTAAGGAGGCGAGTGTTCCAATAAAATGTATCTTATTATATATAATTTTTCACCGAAAATACCTGAATATTGTCAGTATTTTAAATAAAACTAAAATATAATGCGATTTTTGAGAGAAACTTTGTTAAAACTGGAAAGACCTGACAATTGAAAGAAAATTTTAAAATCTTCAGAGCGATGAGCTATGGGCGGATAATTTTACAAATGTTTTTTTTCTAAACTTTTACTCTCTGGTGGTTTTTTCAAGATAATCCTAATTACTTTCGGTAAAAAACTGAATAAAATTATTTGGTTTTTGTGCCAAATTCGAAGCTGAAATGGGTTTTCTAAAGTTCCCTGCAAACCGATGAATGAGGCGAATTTTCTAGCAAAATTAATTTTATGATTTTTGGCTGAAAAGATCCCATTATTTTCAGGAAAAAAAACTTTGAGTTTTGTTGTCGGCTTTGGGGAAAACCTTAATGGCTTTTGAGGAAATTTTCTTATAAATTTTTTACAAAACTATAAATTTATCTTGTAATTTTTCGCGTAAAAGACCTCCAGATTGTCAGTATTTTTAAGTGAAACTCTACAAAATAGAGCGTTTTTGAGTAGAAAGTAAAGCAAAAAAAATGTGTCAAAACTTAAAAACCACATTTTTTAACAAACTCTACCGTCTTCAGAGGAATGGAGGAGACGAAATTTCCAAATAATCTCTTATAAACCTTCGCTTATTGTGTTCGTTTTTTGATAGAAATTATTTTATTTTTGTTCCAAATTACAAGCTGGAAAGGGATTTGAAAACTTTTTACAACGCGACGAAGGATTCGAAATTTATTTCATAATTTTTCGCGGAAAATACCTTAAGATTGTCGGCAAGTTTAAATGAAACTTTAGAGAATTGAGCATTTAGAAGAAAGAGTAACTTGGCTAAAACTGGAAAATTCTGAAAATTTGAAGAAATTTTCAAAATGTTATTAATAAATGGCCCTTAAAATAAATATAACAACTAGTAAAAAAGTCATCAACATTTTCCCACCAACGGAACTGAGTTACTGCGTCGGTGCGTTGGGTTGACGCACCAAGCCACTTGCATATCACTGCGCCAACTCCTAAAAATTCACTGAGTTACCCAGGCCTACTTCAGAACAAATCTTTACGTTCACCTTTGGAACTGATTTTATGAACTTTTTCTAAGGTTTTAGTGGTTTTAGTACTTTGGAACCGATAATTTGTAGCCAAAAACATTTGCGTTACTTATTTGCTTTTGGCACATAAAATTACCATTTTATGTTTACAGTCATATGGTTTAATATTTAGATGAAGGCTATAATTGGAAACGTTAATTTTCCACTAATTTATTGCATTGTTTGAGGCGACAATAACAGAATTCTAAATTTGGTTTTACAACAAATATGTTATTGATTGGTTGTCTGTATGCAAAACGTCGAAATTCAATTCAAATCAAGTCTCAAAAAACACACGGTGAGCCAAAAATAGGTTTAATCCCGGTTTCCTAACTGAAAGGGGCACCCGTTTAATGTTACCACTATTTTGGCTCGCAATGTATTTCAAGTTCAAGTTCAAGCTTTGAATTAAAACTAGAACAATCAATTGAAATTTTAAATTAGCGCGAAGGTAAAATAAAACTATGCACGATGTATAAATCCATAAATGTATACGAAATGTGCTTCTTTCCCATATTTAATGTGCGTTCGGTTTCCAGACAGACTTGTTTCGTTTTAGGATGAGTAGCAATCTACTGACGAATATATCGTACGATTTGTTGTTGGCGTCCGAAAAAGACTGCTCGAGTCCCGAAAAAGATGAACCCAAGACAGCAGAAGAAAACAATTTAATCAACGGCCAATATATAGGACACCGAGAAGATGCACAGGGTTTGCTCAAAAATAACGATTTAGCAACCAAAAATATGGAAATTGTCTGGAAGAACGTGGCGATTTTCGTCGTTTTGCACAGCGTGACCGTTTATGGGTTATACCTATTGTTCACCTTCCAACTGAAGATTGCCACGGTATTATTTGGTAAGCATGCACCCGTTGGGCTAACCGACTTGATCACTTAATTGCTGGATTTTTTAGCATATTTTTACACAATGTATGCGGCATTTGGAATCACAGCCGGAGCTCACAGATTGTGGGCTCACAGGTCCTACACAGCCAAACTACCATTAAGAATTTTTCTAATGCTGGCTCAGAGTGCCGCTTTGCAGAACGACATTCACGAATGGGTAAAATTGTACCTTTTTGTTGAAGTTTGAACACCGAACAGTTTTTATGGGGTTTCAGGCAAGAGATCACCGAGTCCATCATAAATTCACCGACTCGGATGCGGATCCGCACAATGCAAAGCGAGGATTTTTCTTCTCACACGTCGGCTGGCTTATGTGCAAAAAGCATCCTGATGTTTTCACCAAAGGGAAAACTGTCGATATGTCCGATGTGCTGAATGACCCAGTAGTACGCTTCCAAAGAAAGTAAGTGGCCATTTGTGCAATGTTGCTTAATTTAATTTAATAACTTTGTATGATCAGAACAAGTACAGCTTTCTTAACTGTATAAAAATATCAATAAAGTGCATCCTAAAGGTTGAAATACTGATGATAAAAACGTGATTTTGCCTTAAGAAATCGGCAGTTAAATAATTCGATGGGACACTAATGGCTTTTTAATAACTTGGTTCAGAACCGAGAAACAACTGAGTTGATCATGCAGGCATTTTTTGCCAACTTATTGCAATTACTTGAAAAAATGCCGAATTGGTTTTTCACTGCAGTTAATGGATCGATTTGCCACATCGGACAATGGAAACAACCTTGTCTGGAATTATGTTGCATATTATTTTTAACATACATTTTTTTGGCAATTACTGTTGCATAACAGTGGCTTTCGACAAGGACTTTTTCAGGAGATTTAACTCCTACCGGTGTTAAAACATTGGATTTCAGGGCTAATGAGAACGAAGAACTGAGAAAAAAATTTTTTTTGACTTTCAATTTTCCTTTACTTATTCTTTTTTTATTCTTTACTTCAAATTTCCTAATCGAAATCGAATATCTACCAGTATTTTTCCTTCAGAAGTTCAGCTCAATAAATTCTCAAAATTCTCTTTTAAAGCTGGGACTTTCAGATACGATTTTTCAACATTTTATACAAAAACCAACATTACTTTTTAATCCATGAAGCTTTATTCAGAAACTTTTCTATTGGTTTTTGCATTTGATCTAAATGATTCAGCTTTGTAGTAAAATCATGAAAATTTCTAGTTAACAGAGTCTCCTCCGTAAATGTTTCCCCAATTTTTGTATTTGTGGTATTCATTAATTTTCTTAACAAAATTTTCGATTTGCACACATTTTGAAGCATAAACGTCGCCTTTCTTCATCTCGATAGGATAGAGCCTTTTCCAGAAGAAGTCCATGCACGATTACGTAAAAAAATGTTTCAAAGTAAAACAACTTAAAAAAAATTACATAAGTGTCACATGTTTAGGAAAGTTTACATAAGTGTTACATGTACAACATGTTTAGGGAAGTGATAATCTCAGGCAGGGTTTGGAACATATCTGCTCTCATCAGTTGGGTTTATACTGAAATAACACTCGCAAAATCCGCACTTTACACACAGCAACAAATCAACCAATAAATGTAAAATGCAGCTTTCGGGAGCTGATTTTCGTGATAAATCCAGCCGATCAGGGCTAATAGACTTCAATCGAATCCATTCAAGGGGTGCCTGGTATTAACACATCTTGAAATAATTGCATGCTCTCTTATGTGAGTATTACTATTATTATTATTATGGAGACTTTTAATAAGCGTTTGAACAAAAGCATACAAATCTGTTTAACGAATGGCATTTTTGACGGCGGTTTGATCGAGCAAAAATAGTTATTTAGTTCAATAATGTCCAAGAAAAAGTCATGCCACATACTAAGTGCAAACATTTTTATTAAACGTGCCTGTTTTTTTTTACTAATATTTTTCTACTATTGGCATCAAAAAAACATAAAATTCAGCCTTAGCTCCAAAAAAATGTAAGTTTGGTTTGTCACTTGAATTTTCGACACTCTGTATGCTCAAGCATTATCTTAAAATAGACTTTAAAACCTACATAGTCATTCAAGGTTTTTCCACTCTTTCAGCTTGAAACTCTGATTGTTTGGAGGTGCACCTTTTTTATTGACTTATTCATGCAAGGTCCAATCCGTCCATTCAAAGCATTTGCCTTTAAGCATGCTTAAATAAATGAGAAAGGGGTGCTGTGAAGCACAACACCCTGAAAATTTCAACTCCAAGAGACCCAAATCAGGAAATCTTGCTGGCCATTGCTAGTAGATACAAAAATCTACAACTTTCGTTGAAAAAGCGAAGGAAATTATATAGAGAGTTCATTTCAAGGGTCGCAAATTATTGTGGGTTCTTTCCATTTTCACCCCCCGATTTTCTGCTTGGCCAGGAACATTTTCCCTATCCGATCTTTCAACCGCCCCCAATAGACAATGTTGTTTGCAGATACTACCTTCCTTTGATTTTGCTGATGAACCTTACGGTCCCTACTTACGTCACATACTGTTGGATTGGAGAGGATTTCTGGACATCGGTGATAGTCACCTTTGGAAGATATGTGCTTTCCCTGAATGGCACTTGGTTGGTGAACAGTGCGGCCCACATTTGGGGCATGAAACCCTATGACCAGTGAGTTTTCACGTTGCGAAAGAAACTTAAAATCCCTAATTTGTCTGCCCTTTTCAGAAACATTAAACCGACAGAAAATAAGTTTGTGGCTGCTGTGGCCTTTGGAGAAGGCTGGCATAACTACCACCATGTGTTCCCTTGGGACTACAAGGCAGCCGAGCTGGGGAATTACAAGTGGAACTTTACCACTTGCTTCCTGGATTTTATGGCGAAAATTGGGTGGGCCACTGATTTGAAGACGACATCTGAAGAAATCATCAGAAAAAGGTAGACAGACAGGAGTTGAATGAATGCAAATTAAGTGTCCAGTAGCAAGTCTAGATGATAACTCTTTTTTGGCTTCCAGAATGCTTCGTACTGGAGACAACAGTTTGCGATTGACTCTCCAGAACCAAGAATCGAAACCGTTATCTGAGCGTGACATTCGTGCTCACAGTGAGCATCAGCATCCTGATGATGGAGACTTGATTTGGGGCTGGGGTGACAAGGACATGGACCAAGAAGAAATCAACGCAGTCAGAAGATCCAATAGGAAAAAAGCGTGATTTTAAGATTGAAGTGATTTCTTTTGCTGTAGAACATTGCAAGTTCATGTGATAATATTTATATATCTATTATTGTAATAAATAAATGCATTCTTGTTCATCAAGAATTGCTGGTTTGGGCGATGAGATTTAATTTTCATTAGACCTTTAGATGAGGTGAGTGCAACTGACTGAATGAAACTGAATACTCAAACGTCCAAAAGGGTCCCTTTAAAGTTTTCGCTTCCAATGCGTTAACAAACAAGTTTGAGCCTGTTTCCAAAACTATTTTTACACAGTAATCATCTACGAGTGGAATGCTATTTGCAAACTGTCAGAATGTATGCAACAATCGGGGGCCGAGTTTGATGGAGCATTTCGGATCTGAAGGCGCACCCAAAGTGGAACTGATCGTGCCTGAAGATGGCCGGCTGTCGAAACGCTCCGCCAAATGGAGAGCGATTTTCTATGTATTTTAAACGAGTTTGCGTCAAAATCCACCCTCAAAACTGCACAAAAAAACCGTGGGGGACACGTTCAACGTGATTAGACATGCGATTAGTTCAGCATTCAACTGTCACCGAGTGTCAAGGGGGCCAGTGACAGACGACCAGGGGGCTGTCAAGGTTGACAGCCGTCAACGAATTTAACATGAGCAAAGCGATCGGGGCCCAAAATGCATCTTTAGAAGACAATTTTTTTTCCTGCTGAGAAAGTTTGTCGCATAATTCGCAAAAAAACAGGCGCATTAAAAAATTAAAACTTCGTTGGCAAGTGCGCAATTTTTCCTAAAATCGTACAATTTTCAAATTTAAATTGGTTGAAAAATCTGCGGGATTGAAAAGTTCGAAGGACCAGTAAAATTCTACTGAACTATTTTTATCTTAAATAATTATGCGTTGGATGAATGCCCAACTCGTTTAAGGGCATAAATCGTTTGAGGCCTACGAGGGTTTGAATGTTACGTTAACGCTTTTCCTGCTGTGAGAAATTGAGTCGGATTCGAAAAATTTTAATTGCAGTGAAAGCTCAATTTTTTTTCAAAATGACAAATTTACAATTTTTAAATCAGTTTAAGAACCTGCAAGATTGAGAATCCTGCAGACTACTGAAACGAACATTTTCAAACTATCACACTGAAAACGAATTCTGCACGAAATTCGAGGCGCCAAAGATGTTTTCGAAAAAATCTCTCATTCCTGCAGGAAAAATCCGCGTATGGACCTGCAGGATTGACGACTCTGCAGGACTTTGGGTCGAATATTTTCTAACATTCACACTTTGGATGAATTTTAAACGCAATTTGAGTCTCCAAAAGACGTTTTTCACTTCATATACGTTAACAATACAAAAAATCACTTTTCTTGTATTGTTAACGTATATGAAGCTACCATCTCGGGCTGTAATAGAAAAGTTTACCTTTAACAGTTTTGAACCGTAATGAAAGGTTTTTTGGTTTCTATCTTGTTTTCCTTGTTTTGATGCCCTTTTTTGCCTGCTCTTTTAGTCTCTCGACATGGTCGTTTTCGGATCAAATCGTCCCAAAAAGTGAAATATCTCATTGTCTACCGTCTACTAAACAGTCTACTGAACGGCTTTCGAGAGATAACAATTTTGACTCAAAAAGCCTTCAAGTTCCTTCAAGTACCTTCAGAACGAAAAAGATTTGACTAAAAAACAGTGCAGGATAACTGAAAGACATTTTGTATTATTGTTTTATTAAAAAAATATCAGTTTTATATACAGATGAGAAAAATAAATATTTACAATTCAGTTTCATTATGCAACAAGTGTGGACATAAAGTTTGCATGTATTAAAACCCGGGATTAAATTTATCATTTTTATGTGCATTTTTATTTGTCCCGTCGATTGTTAAACGGCCTAATTATCCAAGGTTTATGTACCACTAAATGTGCGAAATGGTTCAGTCTCTTTCCATCTAATCAAATGAATTTTTCCGTCTTCTAGATCCATCTATTACCTACACCAGATCCATCTATTAAATGTAGGATGAAATTAATTTTGCATAGAATTTAGGTCAGCGAAGCCCAGTTTAAAGGGACGTTTTTAATTAAAAAAATTTAATAAAAAATGCACAGGGTTTACGCAAAAATAACGATTTAGCCACCAAACATATGGAAATTGTGTGGAAGAACGTGGCGATTTTCGTCGTTTTGCACAGCGTGACCGTTTATGGGTTATACCTATTGTTAACCTTCCAACTGAAGATTGCCAAGGTATTATTTGGTAAGCATGCGCCCGATGGGTTAATCGACTTGATCACTTAATTGCTGGATTTTTCAGCATATTTTTACACAATGTATGCGGCATTTGAAATCACAGCCGGAGCTCACAGAATGTGGTCTCACAGGTCGTACACAGCCAAACTACCCTTAAGAATATTTCTAAAGTTGACTCAGATTGCCGCTTTGCAGAACGACATTCACGAATGGGTAAAATTTTGATTTTTTGGTGAAGTCTGAACATACAGTTTTTATGGGGTTTCAGGCAAGAGATCACCGAGTCCATCATACATTCACGGAGTCGGATGTGGATCCGCACAATGCAAAGCGGGGATTTTTCTTCTCGCACGTCGGCTGGCTTATGTGCAAAAAACATCCTGATGTTTTCACCAAAGGGAAAACTGTCGATATGTCCGATGTGCTGAATGACCCAGTTGTACGCTTCCAAAGAAAGTAAGTGGCCATTTGTGCAATGTTGCTTAATTTAATTTAATAACTTTGTATGACCAGAACAAGTATAGCTTTCTTAACTGTATAAGTTAAATAATTCGATGAGGCACTAATGGCTTTTTAATAACTTGGTTCAGAATCGAAAAACAACTCGGTTGATCATACAGGAATTTTTTAGCAACTTATTTCAAGCACTTGAAAAAATGCCGAATTGCCAGTTTATGGATCGATTTGCCACATCGGACAATGGAAACAGCCTTGTCTGGAATTATCTTGAATATTATTTTTAACACACATTTTTTTTTTGTCAATTACTGTTGCATAACAGTGGTTTTCGACAAGGATTTTTTAAGGAGATTTAACGCCTAGCAGTGTTAAAAACGTTGAATTTAAGGGATGATTAATAAGAACGAAGAACTGATCAAAAAATGCCAATTAAAGTTCATATTTAGTGGCGTTTTTTCAGCCAAAACTGTACGGTTAAAAACGGGTTAAGAGTGCTTTTGATCTTTTTGCTTTATTAAATTACCCTTGAACATTTAAATACTAGTAAATATCAAATTATTTTTTATTCTTTACTTCAAATTTCATAATTGAAAACGAAAATCTACCAGTTTTTACCTTCAGAAGTTCAGCTCACTAATTATAATTTTAAAGCTGGGCCTTTCAGAAATGATTTTTCAATATATAATTGAAAAAAACCAACGTTACTTTTTAATCCATGAAGCTTTATTGAGGAACTTTTCTTTAGGTTTTTGCATTTGATCTAAATGATTCAGCTTCGTGGTAAAATCATGAAAATTTCTAATTAACAAAAAGTCTCCTCCGTAAATGTTTCCTCAATTTTTGTATTTGTGATATTCATTAACTCTCTTAACAAAATTTCGGATTTGCACATATTTTGAAGCACAAACGTCCCCTTTCTTCATCTCGTTAGAATAGAGCCTTTTCCAGAAGAAATTCACGCACGATTACGCAAAAAAATGTGCAGCAATTAAGTGATCAAGTCGGTTAGACCGACGGGTGCATGCTTACCAAATAATACCGTGGCAATCTTCAGTTGGAAGGTGAACAATAGGTATAACCGATAAACGGTCACGCTATGCAAAACGACGAAAATCGCCACGTTTTTCCAGACAATTTCCATATTTTTGGTTGATAAATCGTTATTTTTGCGTAAACCCTGTGCATCTAAAGATTGATTTAATTTTTAAAAAAAAATTATTAAAAACGTCCCTTCAAACTGGGTTTCACTGACCTAAATTCTATGCAAAATTAATTTCATCCTCCATTTAGGTGTAGGTAATAGATGAATCTAGAGCAAGGAAAACTTCATTTGATTAGATGGAAATGGACTGAACCATTTCACACATTTAGAGACATATAAACGTTAGATAATTAGGCTGTTTAACAATAGACGCGACAAATGAAAATGCACATAAAAATGATAAATTTAATCGCTAGTTTTAATGTATGCAAACTTTATGTCCACACTTGGTGCATAATGAAAGTGAATTGCAAATATTTATTTTTTCATATCGAAATTAATTTAATAGTTATTCTTTAATGTGAAAAACTGATATATCATTTAAAAATTCAACAGTATCTTTCATTTTTCTTGCACTGGTGTTTCAGTCAAATCCTTTTCGTTCGGTAGGTACGCAACGTTCAGTAGACGGTTTACTAGACGGTAGACAATGAGATATTTCACTTTTTGGGACGATTTGATCCGAAAACGACCATGTCGAGAGATTAAAAGTGCCGGCAAAAAAAGAGGGCATCAAAAGAAGGAGAACAAGATAGAGACCCAAAAACCTTTCATTACGGTTCAAAACTGTTAAAAGAGCTCAATTTTCTTTCAAAATGGCAAATTTACCATTTTTAAAGCGGTTTAAGAACCTGCACGATTGAGAATTCTGCAGACTGCTGAAACAAACATTTTCAAACTCTCACACTTAACACGAATTCTGCACGAAATTTGAAGCACCAAAGATGTTTTCGAAAAAATCTCACATTTCTGCAGGGAAAATTGGCTTATAAACCTGCAGGATTAACGACTCTGCAGGACTTTAGGTCGAATATTTTCTAAGATTTACATTTTGGATCAATTTTGAACTGAATTTGGGTTCCCAAAAGATATTTTTGGGAAAAAATAACGTCCTGTATTGTAAAGTATGATACTACTATTTCGAGCTGTAATTGAAAAGTGTGCCATTAACAGATTTGAACCCTAGCAATAAAAGTTCGGGTTTTTTTGGCCTCTGTTTTGTTTTCCTTTTTGTTATGCCCTCTTTGTTTGCCAAAATCGTTCCAAAAAGTCAAATATCTCATTAGAACTACCAATTTTGTAACCAAAGATCTGACAATTTTGACCCAAAAAGCCTTCAAGTTGCGTACCTCCGGAACGAAAAAGATTTGATTGAAAAACCAGTGCAGGAAATCTGAAAATTTGAAAAATTATCAGTTTTTCACATTAAACAATTATTAATAAATTAAATTCGAGATGGAAAAATCAATATTTACAATTCAGTTTCATTATGCACCAAGTGTGGAGATAAAGTTTGCATGCATTAAAACTTGCCATTAAATTTACTATTTTTATGTGCATAGTCATTTGTTGCGTCTATTGTTAAATGGCCTAATTATCCAAGGTTTATGTGCCACTAAATGTGTGAAATGGTTCAGTCTATTTCCATCTAATCGAATTAATTTTTCCGTGTTCTAGATCCATGTATTACCTACAGCTCAATTTAGGATAAAACTAAATTTGCATACAATTGAGGTCAATGAAGCCCAGTTTGAAGGGATGTTTTTAGTTAAAATTGGCAAACAAACTCCCCAAAGGCAACTATTCAATTCATCCACTAAAATTGGTTTGAATCGTTATCATCTTCCGCGTTATTTCTTCAAGGGTGTTCCTCATTTCTTTAGGACCATTTTTTCTTTTTGTCTCATCTAAAATCCATCTTATTTGTTGCCTACATTGTTTTTTTATAGTAGATTTTCTGTAAGGTATCTCTTCTAAATTTTGGCTCTCATTATCGATGTTTGCAATTTTCCAACTAACTCTCTTAACTATTTTTTAACCTTCATATTACGCCCATTGCTAAAAATGCTTGTAAATATCACACAACAAAATTATTTAAACTACTCATTTTTCCATGAACATGTTGAGACCCTCACCCTATGAACCGTGTTCCAAAATAAAATTTTTAGCCAGTTTTAGTGTCAATCAAATACAAAATTTTAAATAATAAACGATGAATAATCAAACTGACTTTGAATATTCCATTTGAATGAACAATGCACATTTGAATAGTGGTGTTGATTATATATAGCAAGAAATGACCGATTTTGACCATTATTTTTCAAACAGTGATTATTAACAAGAGTTGAAAACCCCTCGAGTAAAAAGTGCATCAACGCAAGCAATTATGGGTCTGAACCATTTTATTGGTGATGTTTTTGTGGCCAAGTTACTGCGAAATGGACATTTAGTCGAATTATCACAGAAGGTTAAAATGAGCAACGATGCTCAGAAAACCAAAGATTACAAAATGGAAATCGTCTGGAAAAATGTGGGCATTTTTGTGCTAATTCACTCATTGGCTCTGTATGGTGCTTACCTAATGCTCACACTCAGAGTTCGGTTAATTACCATCCTTTTTGGTAAAAAACTCAGGAAAACTTACTAGAGAGGATTTTTTTACTTCTCAACATTTTAGCTTATGTATATTTAGCGTTTTCCATTCTTGGGGTCACTGGGGGCTCACATAGATTATGGTCCCATCGAAGTTACACAGCAAATTTGCCTTTGAGGATTCTGCTGATGATTGCCCAAACTGCTGCAGTTCAGAACGATATTTTTGTCTGGGTGAGTATTGAGAAATTAAAAAAAAATGTGAATTTTTGGAAAATATAACAGGCAGAATTTGATAGAATAAAATTCTGGTGAAAGTGATCTACCATGAAAATTTTAAGAAAAAAAACAGAACCTGAAACCTGAAAAGAAAATTGAAGAAATCAGTTAAGCCATCATGTGTAAAATGAAGTATACTTGCACAAGAGGCAAGCAAAGGTGACATAAATAGATATTAAGAGAAGTTCAAGTGAAGAGGTTAAAGACATGAATTATTCTCTCCTTATTCTACCAAAAGATCCAGAAAAAAGTGTGAATTGAAGCTACGGAGTATTAAAAATTATTGATTATACAAAATATCTTGTTTTAGAGAATTTTTGCTACAGATTGCTGTTTTCTGATGCTAATGAAAAATCATCAGAATTAATATATAATAAAATAAAACAAAATAAGTGGATTTCTGGGAGACATTGACAAGATTGCGAGAACCTGCCCAATCATTCACTTTTTGAATGTATTCAAAGCCTTCACTCTGTGTCGGGTTTTCTAGTGATTTTTCTTTGTTGGCCAACCAGTGCTACAGACAGTTTCAATTTTCAACAGTTTTTGCAGTTTCTTCAATTTTTCGTTATTTTTTCAATTAAACCTGTCCTTTTTCAAAGTTTTTTGTTTGTTTTTCCTCAAAATACGCACAGAAAGGTTTTTGAAAGATTTCTGATGAAAAATGGATTTGTGTTTCATGGCATTTTGATTTTGCGAGAATTTTGGCTCAGGTGGCAATTTTAAATGCAGCAAAAGCAACATAATATCAATGTTGGCATTGTTAACAAAATTCCAGGGCATTTGAGGTCCAAAACCCGAATATTTCAAAAAACATATTTTTGCAGTGGACGCTTTTCTCTATTAATCTCTCTGGAATTCTTTTAATTCTGGCCCTATTTGGATCATTTAAACCGCGTTGCCAAATTGTTAAGAAACGTAAAATTTATTACGATTTGAAAGTCGAGCAAAAAAATGTTTCATTTTACACTTTAGGCAAACTTGAGATGGATTTAAGTGCCAAACAAGCATCTTCCGACACAAAATCGCACTTTCTTTAAACAAAATAAAACTGCGTTGATGTTCTCTAAAAATTACCGTTGAGAAAACTAAACTCGTTTAGAAAACTGGAAACTTATGAGAGTTTGAAGGCCGGATATCCAATTTTTAAGCCAAAAATATTTTGAATTTTGACACTTTATTTAAACGCCAGATGCGCCAAAGTCGAAAAATATTTGGAATTGTTAACTTTATGCAAACTTTAAATGCATGTGAGCGCTAATAATGTATTTTTGGACAAGAAAATTGAAATATTTTATTGAAAATTGTGCGCAAGTCGTGAACCTCAATTTTTGAAAAAAAAATGTTTGCGCCCGCTTACTTAAAAATTTGCATCTCCCAAACTCAAGCACGCAGGAAGTTGAGTCCGGTACTATCTTTAGTGGACATTTAATCCGATAGACGTAGCAAGTTTCAGAAAAATCCATCCGGAACCTGATTTTTGTCGGCTTTGGAAATGTGACTAACAAAATGGATGGTGTCAGTCATTTGCGCCCGCTTACTTTAAAATTAACATCTCCTAAACTCGCTGACCGTGAGACACCCTGTATAGTACGAGCACGTAGTAATTTGTTCAAACTCAAATTGCAATGTTTTAGGGGAAATTTTTGCCAGTTTTCTACCTTTGATTGCAAACGCGTTGGTTTAAGGGAAATAAATGTGGGAAACATTCCAACTCGATTTGGTATAACGGACAAGCTTCCAATTTGTTCTTTTCAACTCTCAAAATGTCGAGCGTATTATTCGAGAAAAAATTCCTTGCTACAGAAAATGCATTTTTAAATATATTTTTTCTACTTTTGAAATTTACTCTGAGTAGTTTTGACTAACTTCGGCTAATTTTTTCACATGCATTTGTAAAGAGTGTTAATTATTTCTGAACCTTTGGTGTCAATTTATTTAGTCGAATTTTTACCATTTTTTTCTGATGGTCCTGCAAATATCTGCTTGAGATCAAATATTATTCACTTTAATTTTTTTTTAATGAAATTGTGCATGATCTGGTATCTCTATTAAAACGACCGATAAAAAAGCTAAATAGAAACTACAAATATGAAAGCAGAGGAATAACAAATAAAACTACTTAAAAAAGGGTGCAAATAAATCAAGTCTGGATTTTAAAGTTCGAATTCTGGAATCACAACGGCATTATTTGGTGGCTTAATAAAAAAGAAGCTTTTGTACTTAAACTGTTCTAGCCCAGAAAGTCACGAATTTTGCTCAAAGATGGTTAATGGCCGAAGTCAACTAATTCTACTCGATCGTTAAACGACGGACAGAAACATATGCGACTAAAAGTTACCAAGCTCAAGAAGAAACGGTTCACAAAGAAAAACTAGGAGAACGACAAATTTTTTTTAATGCCACTTTGACTTTTTCTTGAACAGCTTCAGGCAAAAATAACACTAATTCTGACTGCAAAACATTTTCATCCGGCTTCCAGTCCAGAGACCACAGAATGCACCACAAATACACCGACACTGATGCCGACCCGCATAACTCAACTAGAGGATTCTTCTTCTCCCACATGGGATGGCTGATGTGCAAAAAACATCCAGATCTACTAGCCAAAGGAACCAGCATCGACATGTCGGATGTGGCCAGCGATCCAGTGGTTCGGTTTCAGAGAAAGTATTTAACCAAATCGAATTTTTGCATCCAATTTTATGTTAAATTTCTTTGAGATATTACCTACCCTTGGTGCTGCTGTTGAACATCGTGCTACCCACTTTTGTTCCGTGGTACTTTTTCGGGGAGACTTTATGGACTTCTTATGTGGTTACCATAACACGATACGTGATATCGGTGAATGGAACTTGGCTGGTAAATAGTGCTGCACACATGTGGGGGGCGAAGCCCTATGACAGGTTTGTTAGCTTATTCAAGGGACCAAAATTTGCAGGATTTTCCAGTTGTTTTAATGGCTGGATTCCTCATGAAGATATCAAAATTTTGTACAAAATTTACCACTAGTCTTAGTGTCGCACTCACACAAATCCAGATTAGAAGTTGGTTTTGTATCATTTGTTATACTTTTTTAAGTTCCGCAAGAGAACAAAAGTAGAACGAAAACAACTAAACGAGTTTTAGGAAATCGCATATTAATGGCATAAATTACACTTTTCTGTTGTTTTCACTGTTTTATTAGTTCATTCGATTTTGCTTCAGAAACATCAATCCGACGGAAAGCGGTTTGGTCATTGGACTGGGATTCGGAGAAGGTTTCCACAACTACCATCACGTATTTCCATACGATTACAAAGCGGGTGAATTAGGAAACTATAGGAACAATTTTACTGCGTGTCTTATAGATTTCATGGCGAAGATTGGATGGGCTACTAATTTGAAAACGGCATCTCTAGAAATGATTCAAAAAAGGTAAGCAAAAATGTTCTCAAAAAATTTTTCGAAACATTCTGAGTTTTATAATGGGCTTTTTGTACATATTTTTCTTTTCAAAGTTCAGTTTTCTTTCACTTTGAAAAAGTCTTGTTGCACGTGTTTGAAGCCAATCCTCTTGCTCCAAATTGGCGTTAAAAACAGTGTTTTTCGCCTTCAATCTTTAAATGCATTAATTCAAATATTACTTGCCTAGGAATTTTCGCATATTAGATAGTTGAGCTTTCGAATTTTCATGCCCACTTCCAACAAAACTTTTGCCGCAAAAAACCAATTTTCAAAAACTGAAGAGGTTCGAACCAAGATTCAAGTTTAAATTAGGGATTACCGTGAATTCACTTAGATTTACAAATCAGGACAATAATTACAGCAAATCCTTTTAAAAAGAAATACAAATTTGAGTATGTACATGAAAATTTCGCTTAGTCCGCAATATCAAAATTTTATCATCGACAATTTAAGACTTCTTCTGCTCATGACGTCCAGAGGAAGGTGCCCGAATCTGTTATCGGGAGTTTTTCGATAAATCCTTTGAAAACTGTTTTTACGAATTAATATAACAACGTTTTTACGAATAATTATCACGAATAACATTTATAAGTAAAGCCCAGATTTCTTAGTGAAAGCGATATGCTTTTGTGAACTTAGGTGAGCAAAATGTGCAAAAACAAGTCATTTGATAGATATTTTAAATGCTTTTTTAGCTTTTTTGTCCTTTTGGTTCTTATTGTAAAATTTTCCGCTTATTTTCAACATTTTCAACAAAATAGATACTTTTTTGGCTTTTTTGTCCTTCTGGTGATTATTTCAAAATATTTCGCTTATTTGCAGACAACAAATTGCGGAATTTCGCGACTTAATTGGAGAATTCTACAAACAAAACTAAACGATGTTTTTTCAAAAAACGAAGAATTTACGAGTTGGACGAAATTTTTGCGGTTTTGAATGAAGAGATTGTACAAAACGCAATTATGGATTCTTAAATAGTCAAAATTTTTATTTAAACCCATAACACATCTAGATGTGAAGAAAAGTTTTTCTACATTTTTTCGACTTTTCCACGTTTTCCACAAAAATATTCTTAGTATTATAAAGCGCAAAATTTTATAACAAAAATTAGTGTAAAGTAATAATTTCACTTGAATTGTTTATCGGTTTTATTTAGCATAAACTTTAGTTTTAGGCAAAACATGCTTACGTTTTTTGAAGAAATTAGAATAAATACATTTAACAAAAATGTATTGTATTTTTTACCCCACTGAAAGGATTTTGTGTAGTTTTATTGCTTTATTGCGAGAAATCAATTTGATTTTTAAGCGCCTTTTCAGAAAATTTTCTCTAGTTATAAGAAAACATCTCAATCATCAAGGTTTGGACAAAAATTCTACAAAAAATTTGATTCTACAAAATCTCCTTGTTCGTTAAAGATAAATTCAATAGTTCAATAAAGTCTGAGCACAACGGCACAACTTCGACATTTTTCTAAGAGAGTCTAATGCGTTTGTTATGCCGAGCCCTTCTGGCATGACACAAGTAGGAAAACAACAAACAACAAAGTTTACAATTTTGAACGTGCCCGAAGGGCTCGGAACAACTTCTGCCAGTGTCGTGTCCGGAGGGGTCGGCACAACTTCGACATTTCTTAGAGTCTAATGCGTTTGTTGTACCGAGACTTTCGGGCATGACATTGGTAGAAGAACAACAAATAACAAATTAGACAGTTTGGAGTGTTTTTTGCCGCAAAATCAGTGCCGTGCCGTAAGGGCTTGGCACAACTTCGACATTCTTTAGAATCTAATGGTCTTGTTGTGCCGAGGCTTCCGAGCACGACACTGGTAAAAGAACAGCAAACAACAAATTAGACAGTTTGGAGACTTTTTGCAGTAAAATCAGTACAACAAACGCATTAAATTCTAAAGAATATCGAAGTTGTGCTGAGACCTTCGGGAACGACATTGATTTTATTGCAAAAACGTTCCAAACTGTAGACTTTGTTGTTTGTTGTTCTCCTACCAGTGTCGTGCCTGGAGTAGGCTCGGCACAGCTTTGACATTTCTTAGAGTCTAATGTGTTTGTTGTGCTGAGCCATTCGAGCACGACAATGATTTTACTGCAAAAAGCCTCCAGACTGCCCAGTGGGCTCGCACAACTTCGACATTTCTCAGAGTCTAATGCGTTTGTTGTCCGAACCCTTTGGGCATGACACTGATTTTACTGCAAATATCCTTCCAAACATTTTTGTGTAAAACTGATTTGTCGTTTATTGTTCTACTTGTGCCCAGAGGGCTCGGCACAACTTCGACATTTGTCAAAGTCTGATGGGTTTGTTGTGCCGAGGGCTTTGGGCACGACACTGATTTTACTGCAAAAAACCTTCGAAACTGACTGATTTGTCGTTTATTGTTCTCCTACCAGTGTCGTGCCTGAAGGGCTCGGCACAACGTCTACATTTCTCAGAGTCTAATGCGTTTGTTGTCCGAACCCTTTGGGCACGAGACTGATTTTACTGCAAATATCCTTCCAAACTTTCTGATTTGTCGTTTATTGTTCTACTTGTGCGCAGAGAGCTCGGCACAACTTCGACATTTGTTAAAGTCTGATGGGTTTGTTGTGCCGAGCTCTTGGGGAACGACACTGATTTTATTGCAAAAAACCTTCCAAACTGTCTCATTTGTCGTTTATTGTTCTTAGGGTCAGTGGCGTGCCCGGAGGGCTCGGCAGAACTTCGACATTTCTTAGTGTCATGCGCTTGTTTTCTTTTCATTTCAACATTTTATTCAAAAATTTACGCACAATGGCAGAATAGTGTGCAGGAGCACCATTTTGCTGGAAAATCAGTTCTTCGTCAGAGAGTCTAGTTCTAATCGATTTGGGAATAAAGACACACTCTCGATCTACTTGCCGACCAAGACTGTTAAAAATATGGTCTTCTGCATACTATTGCATATCACGCATTTATTTTTTGGGGTATTTGAGGTGAGCCTCCTTCATCCAATGCGGATTTTCAGTTACTCAAAATCGAAAATTTTGTCGTTTCACGTAACTATTCAAACAGAACGTAGCTTCATGAAAAAAACAAGGTTTTTCACGAAATTACTATTCAGATGACACATGCTTTGCATGCTGCTGCAAAACTCATTTCGCCATCGAAATAATCTTCACTATTCGGTTAACAACAATCTGGAAAAGTAGATTTATATTCTTAAAATGGTTTTAGGCAAAATATGCTTAACTTTTTTGAAGAGATTAGAAAGAATCCATTTGATATCTAAAATGTCATTAAAAATATTTAACAAACATTTACATTTTTTACCCCACTGACAGGATTTTGAGTAGTATTAATGGTTGTATGCGAGAAATTACTTTGCTTTTTAACTGTTTTTTTTTCGGTAATTTTAGTGCTTTTTAATATGAAATAATTTTAAGCAAACATCTGAATCGTTAAAGTTTGGAAAAAAGCTTCCGCGAAGCTTTTCAAAAATCTCCTTGTTTGCTCCACATCCAGGTTAACCTTTCGTTCGATAACTTTTCGAATATATTCTTACAAAATCGAATTTAGATTGTACAAAACGAATATATTCCTTCACAGAAAAGTAATTGTTATTAAACCTTACTTCCTCTGACGGATAAATTTCAGTTTTAGCACAAGAATCTTTGAACTTCTACACTGTCTTCTACTTCTACAGATAGAGCTGCAATTTTCCATTCTGCATTTCCTTTCGTGATAGCATAAAAAAACAGTAAAAACTCTACTTAAAGGAGGAACGTTACTGATGTTTTGCATCTTCCTTATAGAATCTATCGATGCAGCAAATTATTAAGACATTGTTGCTTTACAAGTTTAAAACCTTTTGTGTTCATTTTGCTAGTTTCTAACAATAGAAATGTTTTATTTCAGAGCAACGCGAACTGGCGATTTTTCATGGCAATATCCTCAAGAAAACGACAAGAAATCAACTTAAGATTCATTTAAACACCCAGAGCACCTGCAAGGGTGGGCTGTAATGTGAAATGGGAGATTTTGAGGGACTTTTTAGTGTGGAAAGCGGAAGTAACCAAGTAGAATTGGTTTTCCCCATTACAATAACCATTACCTTGGGTGCAAGCGGCAAAAATAAATATTTGTAGATAATCGTTGTTATTAGCTGATACCACTTCCAAGATCCCTGACACAACATATGGCGATAGCCGACAGTGACTCAGTTTTAGATGCTTAACAACGATAAAAAACATTATTAAAATGTCCGGTAAAAGCACACTTTAATGTCGAAATGAATCCTGATAAAATTCGATGAGAATCCAGGGTAGGCCTGGGTAATTCAGTTAATTTTTAGGAGTTAGCGCGATGCTACGCAAACGGTTTTGCAACCGGCGCAGTAACTCAGTTCCGTTGGTGGAAAAATGTTAATGACTTTTTTACTTGATTTTAGATTTATTTCATCTAAATGCTACCAATTTTCTAAAGGTATTTTTCTCGAAAAATTTTGAAATACATTTCGAATCCTTCGTCGCATTGTAAAAAGTTTTTAAATCTCTTTCCAGCTTCGAATTTGGAACAAACATCAAATAATTTTCTATCAAAAAACGAACAGAATATGCGAAAGTTTATCACAGAGTATTTGGAAATTTTGTCACCTCCAGACCTCTGAAGACTGTAGTTTGTTAAAAAATGTGGTTTTTTAGTTTCGACTGATTTTATTTCTTTACTTTCTACTCAACAACGCTCTATTTTGTAGTTTCACTTATAAGTACTAACGATCTTGAGGTTTTTTACGCGAAAAATTACAAGATAAATTTATAGCTTTGTAAAAATTTTACAAACACTTTTTTCAGCGTCGAATTCCGGATAAAAACCAAAATCAATTCCTCCCGTTTTTCCCCGAAAACCATTAAGGCATAAAAAACATAATTTTCTAATGATTTTCTTGTTTGCTGATAATAATGGGATCTTCAGCCAAAAATGGCTGAAATTTCATCGGTTTGTAGAGAACTTTAGAAAATACATTTCAGCTTCGAATTTGCCCAAAAACCAAATTGTTTTATTCAATTTTTTACCGAAAGTAATTAGGATTATTTTGAAAGCACGACCAGAGCAAAAGTTTTAAAAACATATTTGGAAAATTGCCGTCTTCATAGCTCTGAAGATTTTTAAAGTTCGTTTAAATTTTCATGTCATTCCAGTTTACACAAAGGTTCTACCAAGCAATTCTTTCCACGCAAAAATCCCATTATTTTCTAGTTTTACTTAAAATACTGGCAATCTTCAGGTATTTTCTGTGAAGAATTATAAGATAAATTTTATTGGTAAATATATATTAAATTAACACTCGCCTCCTTGACCGCTTTGCAAACATTTTTGGAAAACTTTTTGCAGCTTTGAATTATGGGCAAAACCCTAATAATTATTTCTAAGTCCTTTTCCAAAAATATTTCCCGAACTGAAAAAGCGAAAGTTTATAATCATTTATCTGGGAAACTCTTGGAAACTGGAGTTTCTTCACTTTCAGGCCAATATTTCTAAACAACACTGTTTCTAGACAGAAAGACGGCGTTTTTCTTAAGTTTTTACTGAAAAATACTGGCAAACTGAATCTTTTATGCAAACAAAATTAGGAAATCGATTTTACAAGAAAACTCGTCGAATTTCTTTGGACTCAGTTTTGTTGGTGGGAAAATCTAGATTACTTTTTTTAGTTCTTGGAACAAAGTAGTAAAAAGTTACTAAGAAAAAATGTTAACAACCCTTTTTTAGATGTGAAAATTCCAGTCTCGGGTCTCGTAAAGCTTTAATAAATCAGTTATACCTAACTCATGAACCGATGAGTTATAAGTCGTTAACTCAGAGAGCGGCAACACCACAATAGCGCAACTCAGCACAGTTTTGCCCAGGCCTAATCCAGGGTCATAAAGAAGTAGTACGGAAATTTGTGAACTTACGCAGTGCTGCGCAAATGGCTTGACGTACCAACTCAACGCACCGGCGCAGTAGCTCAGTTCCGTTGCGCTGGGCAAATGTTACTTAACTGCACTTTAATAAACTAGTTGTAATTCATCGGCTAAGGGGTTATAACTCATCAGCCCAGAGAGCGGCATCAACTCAAAAGCGCAACTCAACACAGTGTTACGCAGGCCTACTTTTTATCGGAAGCCTCAATTACATTAAATTAGTCTGCAGAGAACCATTCAACACATTTTGTCTTTGAAAAGTTGTCCCAGACTTCTTTAGCATCTAGGAGAGCACAAAATGAAAAAGTATTGGATGGATGAAGGAATAAATGGCAAAATCTCAAATGGGGGCCAAAGAATTAGAAATCTGAGAGACGTGCAGACGATACGACGTTGGTAGCTGCCGAATTGAAACAGAGGCAAACAGATGCGGACTTAATATCAACGCCAAACGCCAAGGAAACCGATGTTGTGATTATCCATCGTTCTCTGTAGTTCAGTAATATTCCTCTGTAGTTCAGTGATATTTTAAACAACAGACTACATTTTCTATTATTGAACGCACGTTCAAGTGAGAGCAACTTCTGAAAATGCATGATCCGAATTTCATGAAATTGCACATATTGAGCGAGCTGCTCTTTAGAAAATGTACATTTACATATTTTGGTTCCCACCAAGTCATGACAAAAAGAGTGAAGTGAACATCCATGAACAGTGTCGATGATGCAACCAGTTTTCTTCGAACGTTCCCTGATATGACCGGGAAAATCGTAAATTCCACTTCAATTGAACATGAAATCCGAAGATGAAACATCTCAAAAGCCTGGTAACCGTTCAAGTTTGATTCCGCCTGACTTTGGTCGAGTGGAATTAACTGTAGAAGACTCTGATGAATCGAGATCGTTTGAAGAGTCCAAAAACGTGCCAGCTCCTGAAATGTTCGACACCAAAGCCATTTCGTCCGGTATTAGCAACGGTCCATCACTGCCATTTCGAACCCGGTTGAAAATCTAGAGGAAACGTCTGCAGAAAAACCATCTGAAGAAGCAACTTTGCTTCCATAATTTAAAAATCATTCAACAATATTTTAGAACTAAACATCGTGGAGGACGAACAGGATGGCCGAGAAGAGCTGAAAATGTGGAAAGAGAAGAACACATTTTAAATTCTCTTGAAGAAGGTGGAAACGTAGTGAAATGATTGCAAATGAGCTCAGAATAAGAATTGTAGGAAAAAACACTATACTCAATGGCTTTCAGAACACAAACACCATGATCATTTTTCAACACCGATTTGCCATAAACCTTAGAAAAATTGTGATAAGATAACTTGTTGGGCAATTTTTACTGGCTACATTCATATACAGTTTCCCGCTTCAATTTCATTAACTTTCCACCCTATCCACTTCCATGCTAGTATCAGCATCTACTTATTCTTTGCTTAGTCCCATTCGTGTACAGAGCACGTAACACAACTTTCCCAATCACTTTCATTCAACTACTTAAAAGGTTTCAAAACGCTTAAATGACCCGTTATGTTACCGGTTGGGTTACAGATTGAAGAAACAATCTGTTGCAAGATACGAGAACTACGAGGACGGCATTCAAACGTGGGTCGATAAATTTTTTTCTGTCAAAGGTCATCGCCGAACCAAAACATTCAATGCTTTCAAATGTTGCGTCATAGCTACAGGTGGAAGTGACTGTTCGCATGATTAACACAGAAGCAAATAGCGAAATTCTGCGTAAAGATGCCGAATTAAAGGACACACATAAAATAAAGTCATTGGTAATTATCCATAAGGACAATATTGTGGACGCTTGCAATGTAAATGCGCGGAAAAGTGTTGTAAAGGTCGCGCTAGGCCTGTGTAACTCAGTGAATTTTTAGGAGTTGGCGCAGTGCGCAAATGGTTTGGTGCGCCAACCCAACGCACCGGCGCAGTGCGCAGAGATTTCCAAAGTTTCCTTAAATTTTCAGGTCATTTCAGTTATAACAAAGTTTCTATTAAGCAATTATTTCTTCGCATAAATCGCATTATTTTTTAGCTTTACTTGAAATGCTGGCAATCTGCAGATATTTTCTGTGAAAAATTGTAAGATACATTTTATTGAAACACTCGCCTCCTTAACCGCTTTGCAAAAATGTTTGGAAAACTTTTTGCAGCTTCGAATTATGGATAAAATCTTAATAATTATGTTTAGGTATTTTTCCAAAAATATTTACCCGAACTGAAAAAGCGAAAGTTTATAATAATTTATTTGGAAAACTCTTGTAAACTGGAGTTCTTCACTTTTAGGTCAATATTTCTAAACAACACTGCCTTTAAACAGAAAAACTGGGTTTTTCCTAACGTTTTTATGTAAAATACTGGCAAACTGAGTCTTTCATGCAAAAAAATAGAAAGATCGATTTTACAAGAAGGTTTGTCGACTTTATTTGGACTCAGTTGTGTTGCTGGGAAAATCTAGATTTTTTTTTTAGTTGTTTGAACAACGTAGTAAAACGTTACTCTAACTATTAAAAAAATTTAATAACCTTTTTTAGATGTAAAAATTCCGGTCTGGTCTCCTAAAGCTTTAATAAATCACGTATAACTCCGAACCGATGAGTTATAACTCGTTAACTCAGAGAGCGGAACAACTCAATAGCGCAACTCAACACAGTGTTACCCAGGCCTAGGTCGCGCAGACCGGCCAGGCTCGACCTGTGAGTGTGCGCATAAAGAATGGGTCTGGAATTGAATAGGCTAAAAGAGATTGAAAGATACGCACGAACTGAAGGTAAATACTGATACATTTGTTACTTACTAAACATTTGACAAAACTAGAAACTTGAAATAATATTTTGTCCGAGAACTGTACAATTTATAGCAAAATGACTCAACCTCTTAACCTCACTTCACAACATCAGCATTCAGTGTTTACGAGCATTAATGTTTGATATAAAATGGGAAGTTTTGCTACAAAAATACGTATACACCGTAAATCCTCAACTCTTCTTCAACTATTCTTTAATGAGAATTTCCTATAAAAATTATAATTTAAGAGAAAAATTTTGCATTTGATGGATGAAATGATACACATTTGTATAAACTTTTGTATACACATTTGTTATATAAAGTACAATTTATCTTCTAGATACTTCTAAGTAACGGCATTTAGTATTACTTCGGGAATCAAAAGTTCATTTTCGGCCACTTTCGGTTTTTTCGTCAACTTTAATTTTATCCAAAAAACTACTTTGTAATGAATACTGCAATGACTGATATGCGTTTTATCTTTTGAAGAGAACAATTGAAAATCTAACCACAAATGTGCTGAAATGTTTGACTTTGACTGGAAAATTCGGCTCCTCATTTCTGCAAAACATTTGGTCCATATTTCCCACAAGAATCTCCAGAAGGATGACGCCAACTTTGCCTTACCCTGCATTTTTATGTATGCGTGCATGTATAAACTATATATGTTAGTTGTTTTTATTAAACTCTCATGAGTGACTTTGGCGTGTACATGAATTTTTTGTCTTCAAATAAACGGCAACATTTCGGGAGAAAGTACAGAACAGAATAATACTTTTTTTTTAAAACATAATTAACACAAACTTTTATTTTGTTTTTAATTTTGTCTGTTCCCGGATGTTTCTAACTGTATATTAATTTTAATTGTATATTAATGTTTATTAACGATTTTTTTGCAAATTATTTCGTGCGATTTAAAGCAGTTACTTCTTTATAAATTGTTCCTTATTTTGCTACTAATTTTGTCTGTTCCGGGATGTTTCTAACTGTATATTAATTTTAGTCGTAGATTTCTTAACGCTTTTTTTTTTATAAATTATTCAGTATTTTGTTTCCAATTTTGTCTGTTCCGGGATTTTTCTTACTGTATATTCATTTTAGTTGTAGACTTATTAACACATTTTTGTTATTTATTTTGTGCGGCTTAGAGCATTTACATTCTTACAAATTCTTCAGAAATTTGTTTTCAATTTTATTTGCTCCGGGATATTTTGGACTCCATTTAAATTTAAGTTGTCGATTTATTAATGTATTTTTTTGCAAATTATTTCGTGCTATTTTGGTTCATCTGGAAAGTCATATAAATTTCCTTTTCATTCTGTACATATTGAGCGTTGTTTTATTGCCTTTCCTTCTTATTCTTTTC